GATGCTGCTCTCGCTGCCGGTGTCCCCGGGCGATGCGGGGCTGGCAGCGGTGCCCGGGGCGCGGCCACCACGTGCCGTGGGTGAGCTCCGGCCGGGGCTATCCCGGCCCCGCTCCCGGCCCCGGCTCCGGTCGGGCTCTGCACGGCGCCAGCCAGGCAGCGGTGTGCCAGGCAGGCAGCGACGAGCCGTGGGCAGAGGATTTCTCGCTGTAAAGCAGAAAACCGCGTCTGCTTTTTGATCGTGCGGGCAGTCGTGCGAGCGTGTGGACTTCAGTCACGCACAGAGGCATAATTGGCCTGGGAGGTATCGAAGAACCAGGGAAGCCAGATACGGCTTAGTTAAGTTTAGCAAAAGATAAGAAATCAAAGAAAGATGCTCTCGCCCTGCCCCCTCCCCCTGTGATCGTTTGCCTCCAGCTGCAAAGATGCTGTTGCTCGAAAGGGGCTGCTGGAGCTTTAAGAGCCGCTCCCCCCCCTCCTGCTCCCGACAATGGTCTGAACCGAGCTCTGCTTCCCAAAGCAAAATTTGTAATATGCCATTTTTCCCATGGATGCTTCTCCTCTTGGCTGCTGACGAAGTGACCGAAGAAAATGTTGAGGTGCCAAGCAGAGAGACTTGCCGGAGGACGGGTGCGGGGGCTCGGGGTTCCTCGGAGCAACGCCTGTGTCACCATTGCTAGGAAGATGGTCCAGGAGTGCTCGGCTGTGTGAGTCCCTGCTCGAAGCCGGTGGAGACTGCGGTTGTTATTGATCAAGTGAAATAGCAGACGCCGAAATAAAAGATACTAGGTACTGAACCTTCTATTTCTGAGTTAGACATTTCTTCCTTAGACTCGATATCCTCGGGGGATGAGGTGCAAATGCAAAATCTAGCTGTCTGCCTCTTGCTGTAGTACTTGTGTGGTATTTAAATGCATTTCTATAATGGGAGTTGGGGGATTTCAGACTAAAAAATGTGAAACCAACCTCATTTTTTTTGGTTGTGGTTAAGGGAGGTAGGAGGTCAGAGACACGGCATAAAGAACAGATGGTTGGAACGAGTCCTTTTTTCTAAGGTACTGTGTTGACCACCCCTCCTGTGTGGAAGGAGTGCAGGATGCTTCTGTTAAAGGTGATATCATAGTTTAGTGGAGACTGGCAGGTAAGGAGTTAACTAGGAGGAGGAATATGCATGTAATGCAACTCAGACAATAGGAAGGATTTTCCTTATTGGAATTACACTGTGCTGCCTAAGAGTGATCTTGCTGAGGATGTTTGAAGAGACATAATTGCAGTAAGAGCTGGTTTTATCAGTCACTATATCTATTTAATGATTTGGAAAAAATAGCTTGTAAATGCAAAATACTCTGAAGGATCCAATGAAATGAGTTTTCAATCTGATGTCACTGTGGACAGGCTAGAATGTATGATAGGTAGATTTCTACTTCTTTTTCCTGCAGCAAAATTACAAGTTAGTTGAAATGACTCCTCAACTGTGGTGTGCAAATCAAGCATCAGAGTAAACAGAAAACAAGCTTTTAAAGCCAGTTATGGATAGAAAGGTGAGGGATTAAAATTAGATTTACATCTAAGGTGGTGGCCTTCAAGGTGAGCAAAATGAATGCTTGTCTAAAAGCCTTTGTCAGGCAGAAGCCAAGTAGCTTTGTGTCTTCTTATTCCCAGAGCTTCTCAAGTGAAAGAACTCCATCTGGTAAATTATTTCCAGGCTAAATGAGATTGCAGAGGTGTTTGTTACAATATTCACTTAAATAAATAATTCCAAGACTCTTGGACAATTGAGGTAACAGAAGATGCCAAATAGGGTGGGGTTCAGTGAGAAGAAGGAAGACAACTTTTTCATTTTCAACCTCTATAGGAGACAGAAATTTCATGTAGTTTTAGAGTCAGTGTTGAGGACATACTTTGGTACCTGGTCCATATATGATCATAATCAGAGAGAGGTTAATATAAGAGAGTTGCTATCAATTAATTTATTAGTGGAGTCCCTCCTGAAAAGAAGCTTTATATAACTCTTAACCAAGGATGGCCATATCCTCTGCTCTGTGTTGGAATTTTAGTCCATTCCCTTTATCTGGATGTTTAAACTGAGCTGCAGAATGCCTAATTGAGCTAATACGGAGTTCACTCTTGATGGAGACATAATGCAGCTAATGCTATAGATTTGCTGTGACATTTTTGCATACAGCCTGAAAAATCTTAATGTAATGTCAGTGAACCACATCTCTCCCCCTCTAGCAGGACAGACTACTTTCAGCAGTCGTTTTTTTGCCAGTCGAGTGTTGTATGTTTAGAGGGGAAACCTGTCCATGGCTTCTGGCAATATAGTAGGTAATGGTCACATAACATCCAGCATGCTCCCTGGTATCACATACAGGCATTTGTGATCTTTATGCCTTTGTTTGGAGGGAGTTAAAAGGAGATTGATGGCTTGTCTACGTTAGTGACTTTTCCAACCACTGTACTGATCCAAACCCACTGAAGTCCATGACAGAATTTCCATGAATACAAGCATTTGCTGGATTAGATTCCATGCAAATGGAATGGAGAAAACATTGAATTAGGAACCAATCAACCTGGAAAAAGCTTTGTAATAGGTGGTGCAGTAGATACACGATGGACAAGAAAGATAATGTGTTCAGAGAACTTCAGTGTACTGCTTCTTAAGCTGCCATTGTATATGGCTGTGATGCCTGACACTCAGGTCGAGAGCTACTACTAAAATAAGAGTCTAGGTTTTATTTTGAATTAGAAGAGTTATAAAGTTATTACATTACCTAAAAGTCTATTTCTAGGGGGTGTTTATGGATTAAAAGGGAAGCAGGAATTTGTTAGTATCCTGCTCCCCCTTTAGAACCTCTCTGGGGGTTTGGGACAGTTGCAGGTGCTACAGAAGTTGACTATATGTTACAGTCCTTGCAAGTTTTGGATGCTGTGGAGGCACCCTGACCACGGGAGTTGTAATGTCTGCTCTGTGGCTCAGGATGGATCAAAGGAACAGTGATTCTGTATTAAAAGTAAAATGCTGGTGACTTTACACATCTTTCATTGAGGGATTGCTTTACTTACATTCAGGATACTGGGTAAAGCAATAAACTTTGTAGTGTAGTAGTACTAAGTTCCGTATCAATGGAGCTTTTATTTTTCTATTTAAAGGAAGAGAAACACATTTGAAAAGTCTTACTTTTGTTGGCTTAGATCAGTCAAGCATAACTTTATTTAAGTTATATTACTACAGGGCAAGTCAGCCTTTTTCTGGCAAAGAACACAAGCTTTCCTTCTCTTCCTTTGAATGAAGAGGTATACAGGGCACATTCAGCTACTAATGCCACCTCTTTAAGTTGAAGAATATACCACCTTGTTTATCCTTTTCTCTCCTCTTCTTTGCATGGCTGCATGGGAGGTGTTGCACAGGATGATATACAGTAGAGCTTATTCAGTTATCATGGACTTAAGTGGTCTTGAAAATATGGAAAACACGGGACAGAGGTGTTTAATCCATTACTTGCAGTTCTCAACACCCACTGGAAAGGAATTGCAGCTTCCTCAGTGTTCATTCTTCACCACCTGTGTTCCACTCAACATGCCTTCAGGTTGGAGTAGATGATCTCCAGAAGTTCCTTGCAACCCTAGGTATTCAGTGATTCTGTCCCATCCAGACAAAGCAAGGCAGCTGTCCACACACTGGTGGATTGCTGTAGTTACCTGGCCTGTACCTCGCTTTCTCCTGATGACTGAGACGGTCAGTTCAGGTCTTAATTACCTGTTCCCCCTCTACTTCCATTCCTTCCCCAACTTCTTTCCTGCAGTTCTGTGGGGCAAAAGCCTGCGGTTCTCTGGTGGCACAACAATCTGCAGTAGCTTGCCAGATGCATGGTTAGGCACCACAGGTATAACCAAATAGTATTTGAGGTATCAAGTTTTAGTGAAGAAATCCTAAGTAAAATCCTTCATTGGGAAATTACTCAGTCTCTGCAGAGGTGCTGGGTACAGGTACCTGAGTTTACTCAATTCAACACCGTTCATCATTCCTTTGAAAAGAAGCAAAGTCTGTGTTTCTGGGTTCTTGGATTTGTTTGGTGGTTGATTTGTTTGATTCCTATCCTGTGGAATTATGTTGTGTGGAAAGGACCTTTGGAAGTCATTTGTGACAACCCCTTGCCCAGAGTTGGGCCAAGTGCAAAATAAGATGAGTCTGCTCACTGCAGGTTTGGAAACTAAAAAGAAGATTCAGTGTATTGTAATTTTCAGAAACTTAAGGAAGATATTTATGCACTCCAATTTTGTTGCATTTAGATTTTGTCACATTACCTGAAATTTATAAGGGGAGTAAGTTTGAAATTGTGGCAAAACAATTCAAGGTTTCTGTTTTAAACTTCAGAGATGGGATTCTAATGTTTCATGTACATTGTTGATTGTCTTTGCTTATTCTACCTATTTTGTCACTGTCAGCTCTGAATTATTTTTCACTAATAGGACTCATCAAAGAAATGTAACTGTAATTGCCTTGTAGGAGTTGATAGGAATGTATGGGTTGATAGGAATGTATAGGTTAGGGAAAGGGATGATATCTATGTTGGGATAACAAATATCTGAACATTGGAGCTGGCATGTGCAGACCAAGTGGAGAGATTAAAATACATGCACAGACTTGAAGATGTTTATGCATCTGATTTTCAGTGTGCATTCAGAGTAGAATGAGAAACAGCCTATTACACTGTATAAAACCAATTCAAAAGAGGCTGGAAGTCTGCATGCCACTCTTTGATTTTTTTGGGGCCATTCCTGGGCATATGGTTATATTCTGTCAATTATATGACAGGCTGATAAAAAAAGTAAAAAGTGTGGAATATCCAGATGTTAGTTTATGAATGTGCTTGGTCTATCCAGTAGTTATGGTTTAAAAAATCAAGTTCTCTGAGCCTATCCAGTTTTTGGAGCAGTAAGAATGAAGAACAGAAAGGAAGCTAATGATAGTCCTTTTTTAATCTTGTTCAGTTCCATTCTGAGTAGAATTGATATATACATATTTAGTAAGAACTGAGTACCTGAGACGAATACCTGCTATATATGTATGAATCTGTTCAGCTGTACATGTATCATTAAGTCCAGGATGCAGCTGTCCTGTGTATATGAAATTTGATTCATGCATATGTAGGGAAAGGTATCCGAGTTTTTTCAAAAGTTATGTAAATTCACAGATCAGCCATAAAAGTATGTGTGGCATGGTAGGTTCTGAAGTGTAATACAAGTGGGCCTGCCAATAACCTTGTTAAGAGCCTTTTAGAACTGCAGCTTTGACTTTGTGACTGTGTCTCCCCTATAAATATGATTGGAAAAGGCATATATTTTTCACAGAAAGAATGACTTATTCTGGTTAATTTATTAGAGACATCACTCAGTGTTTAATGATTGAAATCCTTCCTGTATAAAATACACTTCAGCTTAACACAGATTTATGGTCTATGATAAGTGGGGAAGAGTAGGTAGGTAGAGTGATTCCTTCTAATTTCATTGTATGAAATATTTCAGCTGATTATATTATGAAACAAGACTAAAAATTGTTGGGGTGATGGAGGTTTTTAATACCCAAATGTAGGTTTAAAATTCAAATTACATACAAGGAAAATCAGGAATGGCCCTCTTCCTCTACTGGAAATTTTAAAATATAATTCAAGTTACTCAGGCTATCACCACATTAGTGGTCAAACCAAACTGATCATAGCAATACTATTTTTATTTTATATTTTAGCAGGAATCCCTCAGGTGTTTCTGTCTGCATGTGTTGTCCTGGTTTGCATACACCTGCTTCTGGTGTATGCAAACTAAATTCCTTTCAGTGATAACTAAACTGGGAGCTGACTCTTAAATTTAAATCTCCTTACCCCATGTGTGACCCACATCATCCTGTGATTAGCCAGAGGTTGACTAATACATACACACACCATCAGAAGGCTCAGGAAACGTCAAGAGCTCTTGTAACCCTGTGACATAATTCACTTCCTATATAAAGATCCACATGCATATGTGCCCTTTTATTTGTCCTCAGCTTCCAATCTTATGCTACTAGACTGTGATCAGTCTGTTTGCTGACGCTCCTCCAGTGTTTCTGTGAGGCTCTTCCTCTGCTTTACCTGCCCTAGCTTTTACTGCAGTCCCTCTCAATATGTCTTCTTTCCTTTTTTTTTTCCTTCATTTAAAAATTCTTCAAATATTCTCAGCATTTTGATTCCTTTCTGCTATCAAGCAGGAAATTCATGAAAGGTGTAATAATGTCCTGGGGAAGTAGCTCTATTCTTCTGCGTGTGCTTGGGAACAGTGTTAAATGGTGGTTGCCTCGGGACATTGAAAGCATCCCATGTGTTGGCACATATAAGAGTGATAAATGCCAAAGAAGTTTAAAAAAGGAAACAAAAAATGCTTTTCTAAAGGCAAGAAGACACAAATCATAGTAAATCAAACAGCACAGCATACTAGGTCTTTCATGAAAGGTTGTAAGAAATTATTCTTTGTAAGCCCCACAGCAAACCTGCAGTTGATTGAGATTTTGTTCCTTTTTTTGTGACTTGGTGACCCAGGAGCACTCTGAGAAGCCAGGTTTCTTTCAGAGTTGTTTGGGGTCCTCATGGGCCCCCACAAACCATCTGTGTGAGGGCATGGTCCAGGACTGCTGTATCTCCTGCACCTTGCTGTTGCCCCTCTCTGTCACACCCTCCCAGCATTTCTATCTGGCTCAGGTTAACAGACTGCTTTGCTGTATTTCTCTCCACTCTCAGGGTGGGGGAGGGAGAGGATGCATGTGGTTCCAATGGAATAATAGCTTTGATCTCCGAACTTCCAGAAAGCGATGTACATCACCAGGCTGACTGCAAGAACCGCTGTACCTTTTAAAGATTCTCCTGGGGCTGCGAGCTGTGGGAGAAAACTTCCAAATAGCAGCTGCCTACACCAGGAACTGCCCACCCATTCCCTGCCTTCTCTCCTGTCTTAGTCATAGCTAAGTTTGTTACTTGTGCTGTCAGAACAATGCAGTCCAGGGATTCAAAATAAGAACAATGCATGGCCCCTGCCTTCCCTGAAAGCAACAGCTGAGAGGGACAAGATGTAATAGTGCCATGAGCATTCAACTTATGGATTCCCTTGTACCCCATAACCACTTGCACATATGGCTTCCCACATCCCCATAATGACTTTAAGACAAGATTTCCTATCTAGTTTGAATGCAAGGTGCTGAGGTAGCAACAGCTGTCCACAGACAGATTTCCCTACCTGTTCTTGCGAATGTTCCTGCAAAATTGTACCACTCTCACTCTGCCACAGCCAGTGTGCAGGGGTAGCAAATGCCCTTCACACCAGAAACCTGATCTGCATGTGTAGGACACTGGAAGTATATTCTTGAATGATGAAGCTTCGCTGATGAGAATTCCCTGGGACAAGTGGTGTGACCCATGAGATGTTGATGATTGTGAGGCAGGAAGGGATTGGTGACAATCCAAATTGTTAACTTTGGTGTTGAAGAATGGGCATGCAGAGACCATGGTCTCTGGCCACCTGGTGCATACTGAAAAGTTATGATTGAGCTGTGCAAGTGGGAGATGGCTTTGAAATTTTTAATTGTCCCTTTGCTCACTGTGAAATTAACCATCCCAAACTAGTTAGCCGCAGGTGGGAGCTGAGCGGAGGCTGGCGGTGGCCCCTTGCTGAGTGCAGTGTATTTACACTGGTGGTGTGAGAGGTTCCTGGAGGCAAGACGGGCTCTCCTGGCTGGCATTCCATATCTCCAGGTCCGTGTTGACAGTGGACAAAGCAGTTAACATCAGCAAGCTCCCCCAAGGATTCCCAAAGCTTCTCCCTGTACATGAACCAGGGGTTTGAGATTTAGATAAGCTGAAGCATGGGACTAGGTGATGTTATTTGCTCTGCTCAGGACAGATTTAAGAAACAAACAAAAGTGATTCTGTTCCTGGTAACTCAATTTGCACAAGATATCAAAGGGATGTAATTAGCAGAGTTTCTAGTTCTTGACCTCTTACTGAACAAGCTCGCTGGAGATTAATTTCCCCTGAGGATGGAAATAACTAGATAGAAAAATAGATTAACCTGGTATTGTTAAGGCAGTATGATACTGGATCAATGGCTAGCCTGAGCTGTACTGTTGAATTGCCTAGAGGAGGACAAAATCTGGCAATTAGTGGCAGATATTGACATCAATACCAACAATTCAACAATGAAATTAAGTAAGAGAAGGGAGAAGAGGAACAATAAGGGAGAGTACAATTGCAGAGGAAATATTTTCCGTTATTTTAAGCATTATTTCCAAAACTATTAATTTAAAATATTCTGTAACCCTCTGTCTCTTTCCAGTCAGTCTTTAGTTTTGGGAAGCACATTCAAAGCCTTTGCTCTGTGGAATTAGTCACTGTATTTAATCTCTCTCTATTGACTATCTGATTAACATTGCGCACAAGTTTGAAAGTGGGAACAATGCAATAATCTACTGTGTCCATGTGACAGAGTTTATTCATCTTATTAAATATCCTCAAATGTTTTCTCTACTGAAGAGCTGTTCCTTGATTTGTGTTCTTTTTAAAGAAATGATGTGTGAAGTGATGCCAACGATAAATGAGGACACCCCGATGAGTCAACGGGGGTCCCAAAGCAGTGGCTCGGACTCGGATTCTCATTTTGAGCAGCTGATGGTGAACATGCTGGATGAAAGGGATCGTCTCCTTGATACCCTTCGGGAGACACAGGAAAGCTTGTCACTTGCACAGCAACGCCTACAGGATGTCATCTACGACAGAGATTCCCTCCAGCGACAGCTGAACTCAGCACTGCCTCAGGTATGTCCTTAATAAAGATTCTTTTTTTGTTGTTGTTATTTAGGTTCACTAATTTTTTACTTAATACCACTTACTTTAACCCTAATCAGTATGTATTCCTTGAAGTCCAAATTTTGCTCCCATTGATGTCAGCTGCAGAACTCCTATTGAATTAATAGTATCTGGTTTGACCTCTATGGGACCTCTTTTCATATTTAAGAGTGGGAGTAATGCTGTTGACTTGAAGGAGAGCAAGATGAAGGCCTGTAGCTACTGGTTCTTTTGGCTGTTGCTCTAGCATTTACAACAGGTGAGGGATCATTTAAACAAAAGATCTAATGGTAGAAATAAAACAAAAAAATGAGGATGTTTTCTAGAGACTTTCCTGTATAAGGATTTCTAATAAACAACAAATAAAACTAACTTATGTAGGTTTAATAAGGTACTACACAAACCCACAAAAACATCTGATACCTTCATATTTTAATTAAATTAAATTTAAATATTTATATAAATGTCATTATCTGAAGTTACCCTAGCCTTTTTTAGGAATTTCAAAATTAACTACTTCAGTTAAAATACTAATGTTATATTGTATTTCAACATTATATGTTAATATAATTGTTTTTTAATATACTAGAATTAAAGCAAAGAAAGAACTTCTGTTTGCTTATCGGGCCAGAAGTTGGAAAGATACCATGATTCAAAATTCAGGTTTTCTCCATGTTTTTTTCTTTTTTGTTTTTTGTGTCTCTCAGCTGTCACTTATTAGGAAATGTGACTATGAGGGTCTAGGGAGGAATTAGGACAGCGTGTGGATGGAATAAAGAGGTAATAAGGATGAATGAAATGAGTAAGAAAATTTTGAAGGGTAGAAGAGGAAAATGGCACTCTCTGGAACAGGGAACTGCAGTTTTTCAAGGGCTAACCTCAGCAGGTCATTGAGATATCTGGGGATAGGACTAAATAAAAGAGAGAGAGAGACTAACTTGAGCATTAGCTCCAGACAGTAAGAATGACTGCAGCTGTCTTGGGACAGACAAAAAGGAGTAGCTATGATCTTGATATACTGTAAAATCAAGGTTTGTTTTTTTCTTTTTTTTCTTTTTTCTCTTTATTTGTGGGCAATTGAGCTTCTTTTGTAGAGGTGTCTCTCCATAGAAGAGTGGAAAAAAGTAGGTGAAAGACAGCATAAATCCTTTATTCAAAGATTTATTGCTGGAAATCCAAAGAAGAGGGGACACTGCATCTGTGAAGTCCCTTGCAGTGTGCTGCTCAGTGTGCAGAGGCACTCTCCACTAAGCAATAGTGAGGTATTTTTATTGAGCACTAACAGGTGTCTAAGCCCTCATGTTTCTGTGTCTTGCATATGCAGAACTCCTGCTAAAATACTGGAGACTAGCTAAGGAAAATAATACTCAGCCTAAATGTCATGCAGAGCATTCTAAGGAAATGGATCACAATAGTATTTTATTCTTTATTTCTTCTGGTAAGAAATAAAACATAAAATTATATTGTGTTACATAGTTTTGAATGATAGCTATACACCTCCTAAAAGCAATTGACTTGTCAGGTGAATGCTTTGGTCTACCATGAACCATTAAGAATGTGTGTTTCAGGTAGCATTCATCCTTATATCTAAGAGAGATGTGGGCTTCCCATATGAGAAACTGTGTGACACACTGCTTATACTTTAAAGCAGAATCAGTTTTTTTGTCCATCAAATATGTTATCTAGATCTTCATATAAGAAATTCAATTCTGTAGAAATCTGTTCTTATAAGTACAGAACACTGGCTTAGTAATATAACATTCTAATAATCGAGTCTTTCAAGAATATTATTTTCATCACTACCATACTATTTAGTTTCAATTCTGAACTTGAGATATTCAAGATTAATAGGATACTATTGAGATGTAGTACTTTTACAGTTTTTTGGTGTATGGTTTTATGAATGGCAAGCTTGCCTTGCTAACTGCCTGTTATAGCTTTCTGACAAAATATTACCTAGGACTTATTACCTGATGGAGAGAAAACTACACTCAGTTTAGGAGGAGAATATATAAATATATTTTATAAAAAATATAAGATATTTTATAAGATACGATAATTATAATTTAGTTGCAGTATGGCATCTAATGAGTCTTTCTTTATCAGAATATATTCTTTTAGTTCTTGATCACTTGAATGGTTTTCAAAATTCAATTATTTCTTAGTATTTACGTAGTGCTTTGTGCGTAGAAACTGTGTATTTACACAGTTCTATTCCAAAGCCTTTTTTTAGGACACTCTTTTTGCTTATTGTCTGTTTAACTGTTCACAGTGAAAAATACATTCTGGAGAAATCATTACACTTGGAATAAATAGACCTTGAACAAAAAGGGCTTGAATGAAAACTCGAATGAAAAAACTTGAATGAAAGCTGTTGAAAAATCTTGTCTGATGGTAAATAGGAAATCATAAATAACATTAAATAGGAAGCTTGTGTTATTAGTTAATGCTGTTACAGCTGTTAATGCTGTAGCCAGTGACTGTAAGTGTCTTTAAGTATTTATACTGGTCTGTACTGAAAGAGAACAATGTATAATTAACAATGTCTTTCAAATCTGAGTTACACAAATATAGTTGTCATGCTAAGTACTATCATTGAAATAAATTTTATTTCCATTAGATTGGCACTCTTTATGAACATCTATGTGTAACTGAACAGCTATGTTTAAGGAAGAAGGGGAAAAGTGAGCAGAAAATTACAGCTAGTCTAAATAAAATAACAGGGAAGGCTTTAAAACTTGTTTTGGAGGAAAATCTAATAATATGTCAAAAAGCTAACTTAGAAATATGACATAGGTTTATCAAAATTTTCTTTATACAAAGTAACTCAACATGACTCTTTAGTACTATACTTTTTAAATTGGGGAACTACAGTATCCCTAAAATGATATAGTTTGAAGTCACCTCATTTAAATTACTAATAGATGGGAGGTGTGTAAGGAAAAGCAATATAGTAATTAGTAAGGTAAGTAATAAAAGAGAGAGGAAAAATTTTCACTTACTATAGACTGACAGGATGGAAGGAGTGTAGTAGTAGCTAATGGATTTTGAGATTAATTTTTATTAATTTGAGCATAAGAAGAAGCATGCTAGTGGAAATTTCAGGTGACACAAAATTGAATAGTCAACTAAGTCAACTAGTCATTATAATGCACAAGAACAAGAGTAACAGAGGTGGGATGCTAGTGCATGGTACAAGGGTGAGAGCCTCATATCTAGCAGGTTATAAAAAAATTGATTTTAGGTAGCAGTAGTAGAGAGGGATAATATATGGTTTATAAATGGTGGTAGGCAGCCAGTGGGAGGTGGATGTAGAAAATGGAAAGTACAATTCTGAAATATGTTACATAGAATTCTTCTGTTGGAAGTAGGTAAATATTAAGGCTGTTGAACCAAGGGGTGGTTTGGACCTCATTTATCTGAGTTTTGGCTCAGTAGTGATTGAGAGTCAACCTCAAGTTGTCAGAGATTGAGAAAAACAGTGCTGGAGGAAAGAGGAAGTAACATCTTCTGCCTAAAAAGACTAATTGAAGTTTTCTTATTTCTGGGGGAAACTGTCTTGAGAAGCACTGTGAGTGATTTCATAGATTTTCTTGGACAGACAGGAAGATGGAATGAACAGGTGAAGATGAAAGAAATATTTTAAGCCAAAAATAATGTTGATGAAGGAATAAATGATTATAGGGTACCATGAATAAAGATGGATCATTCATCAAAAGAAGGTCTTGAATTATGAAGGAATGGCATCTTTCTTAGACAAAGACATGGTGAAAACCCAAAACCTTTCAAGATGAAGCTGGCATAAAAGACATTATATATCATAATACCTTTGGCTAATCTGTGAGCTTGACCCAGAGTACCCCTTCAGGTTCTTTATTTCAGACTTTATTGTGGAGATACTCAGAATCTAGCTCACAAATAATATTGTTTATTCTTCCCAAAGCTGCCTGTTGACAGCAGAAGCCTCTAAGGAAAGTGTATTTGGGTCTGCACTACATCTTTCCCCAATGATAGGAATTTATTGCATTTAGGTCATGACTCTTGAGTCCAGAAAAAAAAAAAAATTCCTAAATACAATGAAGTACACTGTAATGAGAAAGCATAAGCACTAACTACTTAATAGTGTGTTTTTATTTTTTTGGAGTAAAATTAGGTCTTTTACTGTAGCATAAGAAAGTGTTCAACTAAAAAGGTTAGGAACTCTAACTCTGTTTTTGAGTACTAGAAAGAGGAAAATGTTCAGGCACAACTTTCTCAAGCAAATTGAACCAAAATCTTCTCTAAGCTAAATTGTCTAGAAAATATCACCTTGATTAGTTACCATGTAAACAAACTGGAAAGATACAGTGTATGTCATTGTAAGACTTCGAATGACACAGAATCATAAGAGTATAAATGTACTCTGATAAACAATACTGAATAACTCTTGTTTTTGGTTTTTTTATTGTTCCTTTTAGCCTTTCAGGAATAAGTTTCAAGGTATGAAAGGTATTATTTATATGAAGATGTTAATAAGTTATCACTCTCTAGTTAAGTTTATTTTGTTCATTAATAATGTTCTTGCTCAGTGATTTACTTAGAAATTATTATTCACAGAATAGTTGAGGTTGGAAGGGACCTCAGGAGGTCACCTTGTCTAGCTTCTGCTGCAGCAGGGTTACTAAGAACAGGCTGCCCAGGACTGTGTCCAGATGGCTTTCGAATATCTGTGAGGGTGGACTCCACAGCCTCTCTGGGCAACCTGTGCCAGTGCTCAGTCATCCTTACTGTAAAAAGTAAAAAACATTTCCTGATGTTCAGGAGGAGCCTTCTGTATTTCCATTTTTCTGTTCATTGTATCTTCAATATAATATTACCAGAAAGTCCTGCTTTTACTGATCAACTGTGGTAGCAGATTTTATTTTTTTAATGGCTATAAATCTTTTCACATATTGATCATCGGAATCTGCATCGATGATAAATCTTTTTTA